TACTTGAACTTTGCCAAAGCATGGATTGCTTTGTATGTTGTAGCAAAAGTTTAAATCCACCTTTGCAACAATAAGCACAGCAGTTATTACTACATATATAGTTATTTCATGATAGCGTTAGATAAATTCAATCTAAAATGGCTTTTTATCGGATTGATTCTAATTCCGGTCTGAGATTTAACAGTTATCACTAAGTTTATACAACTTGAAGAACATTTACTTTACTGAAAAAAATCTCGTAGAAACCGGATTATTTGTAATTAGATATTTTACTATAATATTGATTCGTAAATTATTTAATACTCTTAAGTCTGTTGTTTAGACGAGAAGTACACATTTAAATAAAACGCGTTAGAAAAACTTACAATTTTTACGACTACCCGACATTTTGGATGCTTTGCAGGCGGCCGTGTTCTCGAGGAGATCCATAGAGGGTGTTCCTCCATTACCACGGCTGTCGATGAAAGTGACGTCATAAAGATTTTCGTTTTCTTTTCAAACTTTCTTGACGTATAAACTACCTAGACTATAAACAGACGATGGTAATTGTAACTTGAGTCCATACTCTTAATTTTAAATGAAGAATTCATGTTTAAAATAAGGAAATAAATTTATTCAAAAGGCCACATTCAAGCGGCCAGTAATTAATTCTGAAACAAAAACGTCGGCACTATTATCCGAAACACACATAAAGCTGAATTTAAAACCTTCCTGTACATCATACGCCGGGCCAAATGTCTGCGTTTCCGTCCCTTTTGGGGGTTTGCTTCGCTTCTGACGACCTTAGTAGGTTATATAACGTATTTTGTCGTCTATTTGACTCTTACGAAAATATATATGGTTATACAACGACACATTAACGATCTCATTTGTCGGCTGCTGTTCGTTACGTCACTTGTGTGCTCTGTCCTAAAATGAACGTAAAAAAGCATTTTCCACTCAAGACATTTCGTTTTTAACAATCGCGAATTAATTTCGTTAAATTAAAGTATAATTCATTAAAACGTATTCACGGGAAAACCTTGGACCCTCGTTTCATGCCGAGGCCCGTTTAGATCTCCAATCTCGAAAAGATAACACGAAATGTATTTCTAAGGGAAAATATAAATGTTAAATTATCACAATTAACGTGTTTTGGAAAGCAATCTTTCTAATAAACAAAAACAAAGGCCCTATCGGGGCAGAATTAATTTATTTAGAGGCGGAACGGGTTACAAAAAGTCCTTCAAACGGAACGGGGACGGAGCTATATTGCGTCCATGTCACTGTTTGTTGACACCTTGCATCGTAGAGGGTATGTCTTCGAGGTGAGTTCCTAAACAATTATTATTTTTTTAACTTTTATTATACAGAACCCATCAAAATTCATCGTTTTGTTTCATAAAATGTAATAAAACGACTAAAAATTCTAAATATTTATTTATCGGTTGCCCAAATGAAGTAAATCTATGTCATATCTTTTTTCACCTAGGCGCCAACGTCAATCTGAATCTAATTGAGTATCAAATGGCTTTCAATAACAAATCCGTAAAAGAGCTGGTCGACCGAGCTCGTTGTGCATTTCAATAACCTTTTAATCAGAACAATTTAATTAATACTCTCCATTATTTTTACTCGTGAGGAAGTTCAAAGTGAAATATTTAAGTTAAAAATACCGTTCACGGATATAAAAGCTTTAGCAGCCATTAAAGCGAAGCGTCCTTATTCTTCTTACAAATTAGCAATTACGACATCCGAACAGCTTGAAAACCCAAGAATTTCTATTTATGTATTGAACGATATGTTTGTAAACGTTAAAAATATTTTATTAGTTGTAGTGTGCTAGCTCAATGAATGAAATGATACAATGCTTACAAAGTTTTAAAGAAAACTTTAACAATTTTGAGAGTGAGCGATGTTATAGAGAACAGTCGAGTGGTAAAGTTGTACCGAAGTTCGCTCTTACAATATTAGCTAGATGAGTATTATTACTTCTTGTTTATCATTTCACGGGAAGATTTGTTGGTTTTATAAAGCAAAATCTTGAGCCGCAATTTGACTTTGGACGGCCTTGCTTATACTTAAACTGTGAAGAATGCATTAGGTATTTAAACAATAAGACTCATTTGAAATGTCACAAGTATAGCTCACTCGATAAAACACAGCTAAGCGCCGAGCACACATCGGGAAAATAGCGAGAGAGCCCCCCAAGAGTTTAATAACCGCACATTCTGATTGCGCTGAATCGCCGATTTCGAGTGGGCTTCGTAAGCTCACGACTCGGCACCGATACTCATATTTATTCTGTTGCTCCGATCTCGGCCGACAGGGAGAACGTTCCAGCTCTTGGGAGAAATCGTGGACACTGCGTAAAATAATAATAAAATGATAAATCATAACATCCGAGCGAAAGCGATTTCGACATATCGGCAAAACGATAAAAGGTTGATAATTACATACTTTTAACATTCCCGGTGAACGCGATTCAGATGTTTCACAGATAATAATTCGCACTGTTGGTACAAAATAAATGATGCGTGAAATATGTCCCTTGTATTTTACATTTTACAGGTAAATTAGTATAGCAAGCACTGTTGTATTTTGGGTTAAGCGATGTCAAACTGACAGCACGAGAGTCATTGTAAAGAAATTAGTTGTAAATATAAATAGCCAAATATATGTAATAAATACTTTAGCCCACTCTCCCACAGCTCTCACTCCTGGCTTAAGAGCTACTCAGAAGGCGAATACATAGATAGGTAGATTCTTCATTTCGTTCTTAAAATCGAGGGAGTCATGAAATAAAAATATGTATTAAAATTCTCCCAAAATCTCGTATTACGATGCCGTTATGATTTTTATTTAGATAAGACTCACTCGGGGACGTAGTATAAACGTAGGGGAAACGTTTCGCATGTCCCGGTAGGAGTGTAACTGGAGGGTTGCAACGGTATACAGCGTTTCACTAAAAACGCAGAGCACGAGTTTCGATGTTTTACACGTAAAAGGCAAAGACAGCGCTCATTAGAAGGCAAAGAGTATTACGCAGATGTATCTAGCGGGGAGCAGGTGCAATAAATAAGCACCTTCAGACATTAGCCAAAGATAATTCTAGTTTATTGTAATTTTATGCGCAACATTACAGGGCGCCCGCAAAATGCAAGCTCACATTAATTAGTTCTAGTGCTGTGACATGTCGAGCTGTGTATAACAACTCACCGACTGTCGGCAACTGTCGTTATGCTTTGGATATTTTAAAAATCTTTTTCTATTTTAGCACTAAACTAAATTTGTAAAATATTGAATTTTCGTGTGCGAATCCTACTAATGTAGTCTCAACTAACGTAGATATCATATTTATACGTTATACTCGAGGGATTTTGATTGAAAAATTTTATTACACCGTAGGAAATATACTTCAATCAAAACAATCTAATGTTCGTCCTCCCTGAAGCGACGGCGAAATCGAGAAATGTCATGACTTTGCAGCGCTTTATCAATAATTACATTCCGCGACAACAATTTAATTTCTGCGCTGCGGGTACATCACTAGAGGGAGAGAATCGATGCAAATTGTATCAACCCTACAGTGTTCCGCTCCTTATCTTGCTGAATAACACATTGCTTTTTAGCGTTCGTTCTAATTATTTTCTTTCTTGTTACTAATTTCATCGCCGCGTTTTGCTCTATTTCAGATCTGTCATTGTGTCATTGGGAATTCCTCGCTTTCTTATAATGGTCTGTATTTTGATGTAGACTTGGAGATACCAATTAAAACAATGAATAACTTCCAATTTATAATATCTACTCATTGTTGTGTCGGTGTTTCGCATTGTAGGCACTTAGTATCATTGGTGTATAAGAGTTTATTTTAAATAAAATAAGTTTACACCACAAAATAGTTGCTTATGGAAATATTTGTAATTTTGTAAAATGAGATCATTTCACATTTACGAGATTATGTAGCCAGACTCAGAATATTCAGACACTCGTATTCTGAATCTGTAACGCAAATGTAATAAAAAGTTTTTGTGTCTGGTACGTAATGGACTTAGCTGACCTCAATACGTGATAAAATGGCGGGGAAGGCTACAAACTATGAAAATGGAATAATACAAGAAACCGTTTAATAGTTGTATGGGTGGTCATGGCGCGCTGTAAACAGCTGTAAACAGATATCGCTAGTGTTTTATTTAGTTTCGTTTTTTAAGTTTTGTAGAGAGGAGGATTCGAGGATAATAAAATACAATTATATTTTTAAATTTTTATTTTGTCCAACAAAACATTTACATAGATAGTATGTTACATGGGTCTTTGAGTGAGTACAAAATTATTTATACGAAATAAATCTGAGATAGCCTTAGGTTTATCGTTTGCTTTTAATAGGATACCAGTCATCTCTCGTAATTAAGAAAGTACGGCATTTAGCTGTAATATACAAAGTACTTGTAACTTGAAATCAATTAGGAAAAACTATTTATATGCGTTCGTTCCAAGCCTTATTAAATGTATGTATGTTATAGCATAGTGACAGTTCTTTAAATACGTATAACTGGTCTTGCAGAAATAAAACGTAACAATTTAAGTTGATATCTCCTCTCATGATATAATTCGAATAAAACAGTATTGATATGAGTAATAGTGCAAAATTATGTACAGCGCTTAGAGAGATAATTATTCTACGTCTTTTAAGTAATGTGTAAATTGTAATATTTCAACAACACGATTTTTGTGATTATGGTTAACAGGTTATAGTAAACTATTATTGAAGATATCTGTTGTGGAAAACAACTCGCGTAATGTGTTGTTAAAACTTAGTGTTTTTGGTTTAGTGGAAACTTAATTTAAGGGTTGATAAATAAAAACATATTGACGAAATAATCTTTAACGCCCCTAAATCTAATTAGCCGAAGATAGTTAAAGTACAGTTCATACAGGTTTATCCCGGCCGTCCACTCCACCATTATCACAAACATTGAAAGAGTTCGATTCAGACGTATGCCCAACACTGGAGGCAATCTTCAAAGATCCAGCATCACGCGAAAGCGGCTAACGTGATGATAAAAGTGGCTAGGGTTGGGGCAAATCTCGGTGAATCGTCGTGTAGGGGGGGCCAACCGTCTGACCACGGAGACTCCGCGCGGCCCCCACTCGACGGTCACATCGTCGTTACCATTTCTGAAAAATAAGCCACGACAGCGATATTCCATTACTTTTTTTATACTCATTAGATAAAATAAGAGATCCAAAAACTCTAACTTGTATTAGAACAATACCGATAATAAACTATGATATTAAATTGTTTTTAATATTTTTAATTTTCATGCGAAGTCCTACTACTTAAATTAAATTTAAGAAAATGGGGTTAGTTATTAATGTTAGGAAGAAAAACTTCGATGACTTCAATCTCCATCAATCGAGCAAAAATATTACTACTAATTTTCCATTTTCAAAATGTAATCGCGTATATCACCATACCCAAGTTCTGCATCTGGTGCTGGCTGAGCACCACATAGTTGTCTTCGAGAGCCGGATCCTCCATCACTTCTCGATGCAACTGCTCCAAGTGGCTCTCGACATCTGTCAAATCCTTCGATTATGTATCCTTCATAGGCATAGCTCTTGTAATACATCAAATGCCAGTGACCCAGTTAAGAGGAAAATTGTGGTCAAGAGCGCCTTTGTGGATATAAAACCTTTATGACGTAGGAAATTACTTTCTAAATGAAATAAAGTAAGAGCGCCGGGATGAACGTGGAAATAGAGATTCAGAAACATTTAATCCGATTACTTTGTGTTGCGAAGGTTATGAATGACAGGTTTCTCTCAAAGCTGTCAAAGTGTTAAGATCGCCGAACGAGACTTTTCTATCAGCTCGAAACATTTATTTGTACATGAGTTAATGAGTCAGCCCCGGAACAAAACGGCGTATTGGAATTTTTAATAGCTGCTAAAAAACGGGCGAATCATAAGCCTTATTTTGCTTTACTTACTTCAGGTGAGAAAAATAATAATTTGGCATCCATGCTTACAATATATTGTAGACTTCCATGAGGACAAAAAGGTATATTCATAGTAGTACATACTTACTTGGTGAAATGATTGTTGTCGGTCGAGGTGTTGTGGTTGTAGTAGTTGTTGTTGTCGTTGTGGTTGTTGTTGTTGTAGTCGTAGTTGTCGTGAGCACTAAAACAATATTTTTTACGAATAAACTTACGTTTGTCTCTGTTCTAAAAGAAGTACATAAAAATATAAACAAAACTCCATTTTCATGAAATGTAAAGTTGTAAGTCTATTTTCCATTGGTTATGAATAACAGTATAATCCGTTGAACTAGAAAGAGAGTTAAAAATAACTACAAAATCATCTAAATTTCGAACCGCTATTCGTAACAGTATAAAAATCGTTAAAACATGCAAGGGCTCTTAAAATGTGAATTTTTCGAGAGACTGTTTGCTTTTTACGACTCTCCGTAGGTTAGTTACACGCGAAACAATGGAACTCATATTTACATAATTATTTTGTACACAATGCAACGACGATGATGTACAATCTTACATTCTTGTTTAGCCTTAAAGAAGTTAACATTATTAGATTGATTAATTTATTAGCAATAAACCCGTTTTTCGTACAACACCTTCCACGTTACATCTTAACAAAGTAGTGCAATTATGTGGATGGGTAAACTCAAATATGTAATAACCGATTTCCGACTCATTAAAAGTGCCGAACGCTTACAAGCGGCGCATATACTCACTGTGCAAAAAGACGTCAGCGTGCGCCTTCCCAGCGCTATTTTCCACGTGGCATCGATAAGAGCCGGCGTCATCGCGCGACATGTTGCTCACGACAAGCGTCGCCGTGTGTCGGTAACCTCTGGACGTTCGACTCACTCTATACTTGGTACCTATTGGGACAAAGGCATTAAATACACAAAACTTTAAGCCAGCAAAGCATGCGCAAATCATGTCGTTCCTCATTCGGCTAATTGAATGGCGTAGCATAGTTAAAAGTACTTTTCTGTCCATTACGTAAAGTTAAAATATATTTTAAGTACGAAAAAGATCTTCATCTAGTAATTTAATAAAAAAGTCTTATTATGAGAATTTGTTTAGAAGATAAGTGACCTTTAACGATTTCAGAATAGACTATCTCGATGGTATTTGAATAATACTTTGATTAAATCTTTTACAGCGCGCCAGTCTAGAAATATCTTGTCATGAAAATGCAAGAACCCATAAAACCAGCTAATGAGTTTTATGAAACCTAAAGTTGATCCCGCCAGTAGATAATGAACCTCTATTTAGTTTCAGTTGACGGCTCTGAGAGTTCTCTACTTCATATATTCTACATTCAGAGCTCGACTCACATACAGGTCGGCTCCTTATCTCGGAGACTAAGCATAGTATATTTTACGTTTCACACGAGCTTTCCTTAATTCCTAATTAAACCTAAACCAATTAGCACTTGTATATGATTTATCGTCGGGCAGACCGGCTGCGAAGCATTACGAAAATAATAATTAATAATTAAAATTAATTCGAGGTATTAGTGTTACAATCTCCTCAATTTAGACGTTATTAAGCAATACGCCGATCCATCCGCAGAAAGCCTAACTTAAAGCTTTCGCAGCGTAAATATGTGCTTCCGTATATTAACGTTAATAGTTGCAAATAGTTCTATCCAGTTTACACATTCGCTTTGATGTATGCACGAAATGTAAATATTCCATGTTTACTAATCTTAAATAATCCGTTGAGAAAAACAACTGCACATTGATGGCCAAGGGAAGGTTCAGATCGGCAAATGGTTTACTGTTTCTTTGTAATTTTGTGACCAGCGATAGCCCATCACAACACGACACAGACACAACCCAGTTAGTGTGAGCAGCCATTTTAATCCGCCGATGCCGCGAGCAAAAGTGCGTACTGTATAAATTAGTTAGCTTCGCCCTAAGCGATGTCTGGAGTCCAGCTCGTAGCGCACCGGCCCCCGGATATTTGAGCCTGTGCCGAGCCACAATGGGTGGTGTTCGCCCAACAAAGGCGTCGCAAATAATAGCAATTGTCGGAACCCGTGTACCGCTTTATAGGCGCAACTATTTTGTTAGCTAACTTTCGTATCTCTGAATCGCTTTCAACTTTACTTCTATTTTATTGTAATTGCAATGTCTCGCTTGCGAACTGTTTTTATCGGACTGCGCTATGTTTTCGCTTTATTAAACCTTTTCAAGAGGAAACTTACGCTCTTATTCTACAACTTTTTCAACGTTTATAGTCGCTGCATTGTATAGGACCCTCACTATAAATGTTCGATCGTAACTCGAAATAAAAAGAACTTTCCAAATTTCAATGGTCTATTTAGGTCACATATAGGGCATAGGTGTGTGTCTCAGTGTAAATACATGTTACTGCTTGATACCAGATCTATCCAGTTTTTCATATTTCCTATTAAAGGTCTAGGATAATTACTGCAGTGACGACATCATTATTCATTCGCCTCGACAAAAGAATATAGCACACCATTCATAAACGAATGAAAGAGGCAAGTGAATGAATGACTGGTTATGGATCACGGAGACGAATTGAAATACAGAAGTGAATATAAATATACCTATTCAGTTTAAACTGGTCGTTATATTTTAATAATTTTGTTTTTATTACGTGTTTCTACAAGATAACATTGAAAACTGAAATGTAACTAATTAAACGCCTTTGTGTTACGAATTTATTCAAAAAGTCGATTTCGTATCCCTAAAGAGAACTAATTCGCAGAGAATAGGGTTTTAGTTTACGTTTTATCATATTTTTTTAACGTAACTCTAAAGTGAATTGTTGCGCGCTGTTGTGTACTGTTTTTGATAACTACATTTATAAAAATAAAATCCCTAAATCTTCTCGAGTTTGGCTAGATGTCAGGAAATAGTAAACTCAATTTAATATTGAAACGAGTAAATAAAGAGGTGGCTCGTGTATCAATCATGGCGTCGGAGCGAAGTTGGCGACCGTCCAGTGCGGCGGACGGACAATAAATGACAAATGACTACTGCGTCATCAAACATGACTTGAGGGTACTTAGACATTTGCGCTCAAACACTACTTCCTTCGCATTTCCTATTATCATTCCACTTTAAGCGTTGATTTTAACTCTGATTTAACATTATGACTACAAAATATTCTTTGTAAAAGGAGCAGAGTAAGTTGTGTCATTTAAACGCGTTGTATGTAAAGGACAAGAAAAGCTCGGGCTTTAGCTACAGGGACCATACATACCATTAACGAGTCTCTGTTCACCGTTGAGTACCCAGTAAGTCTGAGGTACGGGGTACGCCTCCGCTGTACATTGCAGAGACACCGAAGTTCCAGATAGGGCTCTGATTGCGACCCGACCCGTCCACACAGAGGGGGCAACTGAAATAACGTGATTTATTAACTTTTAACCCTACGTAAAAGGTATTGCCTACGCCTTATAATTACGTACATGTATTAATGTAAGACGATAGACTCAGGAATGTTGACATAGGCTACCTATGCTATAAAATATTTCGTATTTGTATTTGGTACTTTGGTACTTATAATTACACCTACATACAAAAGCATTAAAATACGGAATAACGTTTATAGGGCTTAAACAAAGCAGACTATTACGATTCAGCCCACTTGTCAAATGACAGGAGCGGAGTAAAAATGTTAACGGCGGACTAATTGACGAGGGTATAATTAACCTATGTGTTTCATGTTTCGTTGCTCTCGCACACGGACATTAGTAGAAATTTATTACTGTGTCGAGCCAGGCTGTGACCGCTTGGACGATTCAAAGGTTGACAGCTTTTATTTGAATAATTATACACTAAGTAGGGTCCGATGATTTAATTAGAGAGATGATGTTTTCTCTGATGCCTTATTATTGGCGTAAGATGACAGTAATTTAATTTGATATATGATGTAACGCAGGCAATGTTACAGAGAGCGTCTAATTGCCGTAAAATTTGTATTGCTAAAGCGATCATAATTTAATCAAATGAAGTCAAATCACTGCGTAACCGTCCTATTGGAATAACATAGACATGTAACGTTTAATCTAGGTTTGAAATAGACGACACTATAAATCACGACGATAACATGAATCATTAATTAAATCCTTATATAATATTCCGTAAATAAATTATTTATCCATAATAGGAAACACAACACGAACAATTACATACAAAAATAAGCAACCTTAACCAGGCAACTCTTGTTTGGACAATGGAGGGCGAAGTTTAAAATTTAAAGAAATTTCACATATTACTAATTATTCAACATACAAAACCAAGTAAAGTTTGTGAAATAAATATCATCTAGATATAAAAATGCGTAAAGGGGTATTTTAAGGATGACAATTAGGGAGCTTAACGAATGGACACAAATATTGACGTTGATGCTTAAGCACTCAACTTAGGCTCTGCTGTAAAATATTATAAGATCAAGTTAGTTTTCATAAATATTTTGGCCAATTCAGTCTGTTATTTCTTCAACATCTATTCAATATACACAGAGTACTCATAGAAAATAAAACGGGAAATGTTATTTAGTATGAAAATAAATCTCGTTGCAAATCCGAAGTGGAGAGGCTTATTACCTGAGGCCGAGGACCAAATGCAACCTACATTCTATTGCTAGTAGTTGTTATAAGGAAAAGAGGTTTATATTGCAACATTTGTCATCTAACTCACGAGCACTCGGGGGAGCACGAACGGGGTCACATTTAGTTCCTCTATTTCTTTGTACTTAAAACTTCAAAGTCATCAGTGATACCCACTCAACCAGTCGGTGCAGCAAAAAAACTTGCTGGCTGTGTGACTCAGTTTAAAAGATGTCGCAAATTCGAATCCCGTCTTTGTCATTGATCTCATCAATATCTCCTTAATTATATTTTTTAATTTGAATTGCTTTCTCCTTCGTTTTATACAAACTCGTATGTTTATCTTGGAGCATGTTTTCGGACAGAAAATTGGGCGTCAACTCACACACAACGTGCAGTATGATCCTCTTGCTAACGGAAGGCGGGACGCCGTTCGAGGCGATGCAAAGGTAAGCACCGGAAGTCGTCCTTTCCACGCCAGTCAGGTTCAACCATTCGCCGCTGGATTTTGATACTGGAATTATATTCAGACATTTCCCAAATCCCGAGCACTAGTATTTAACCGTGGGAAAATGTTTCAAAAAATTATGTAGACTAATGTTTATGCAAGGCATTGAAGATGTAATTCAACAGACGGGTAAGGCGTCGATCGCTGGTTTGGGAAGATTGAAAAATATTATTTCAGTTATTATCTATACTAATATTATAAAGAGGAAAGATTTGTATTATTGTATGTAATGGATAAACTCAAAAAGTACTGGACCGATTTTAATAATTCTTTTTTCATTAGAAAGCTACATTATCACTGAGTAACATAGTACTTGATTACTATAGTCATCTATACAAATTCTTACTAAACCCAACGGAAGGCGTAAAAAAATTTGCCATAAAATCTCTTTCTTCGCATACGCTGCGAAAAGTATTAATGATAGGACAAAATAATGTTATACAATATTATAGAATATATCAATATCTATAAAAAATATCTTGAGAGCATATGTCTAACTGTAGTTACATCGTTATAACTACTTTTTTACATTTAATAAATTGATAGAAATGCCGATCAAAATCAGACCGTGTTATCCATACCATTTATAAATTTTTATCCAAAGACTGTCTCAATACCTGATGATTACTTTTTTAATTATTGAAATCGGACATGCCATTCTAAAGATATCATGAAGTTAAAATAAAAGTACATGCCGGCGGCCGCCACGCCGCGCATCGAGTAAAGTTAACTGAATGAAAGGCTCCTTACGCATTGGACGCGACCGACACTGAATATTTCGTTTTTTGTTACACAGTTTTTTGGTTCACTTAAAAAGTTCTTTTCAGACCTACTTAGTTTTAATATTAGGAATCACAGTTTGCATAATATCTGTCAAAGTTCTTTTCGGAATAATCTCATTGAACTTGAATATTTTCTTTTGTATTATTATTAGTTTATTCTTAATTTCTCTGATTTAAAGTAAATATAAATACCTAAGCGAGATTAGCACAAGTTCGTCGTATAGGAGAGTCTTCTTCTAAAAATGATCGTCTGGAAAGTATTAGAGTGTACGCCTCCCAATCGCGAGCCAGAGAATCTAGCGTCGAACGTTCAGTTCGTCTTGCAGAACGAAATGTTTTTTTTTTTTTGATTGGACTCTTACGTATTGTGTTCCTAAGGAGCCACGAATACTAACCGGGCGTTTTCGCTCGCCGTGTTTGCGGCTAGACCAAGGGTGCCCCGAGGGGGGCATCGGCCTCGGCTTAGACCGCCGCAATGCGGGTGGGAGCTAGAAGAGCTGGACGGAAGCTCACCTGGGTGAGCGGTACGCGAAGCGAATGACCTCGCCTACGCCGGCGTAGGCGGTTTTGCGGGCGATCGGCACCGGTGTCGGCCGATCGCATAGCAATAAGTAAGTCGACGGCTTTGGTTAAGTTGTCATCGGGGTCGGTGAGAACGTTACGCGGCCTTCTCCAGCGTGTATTTTAATGGGAACGGTGTAGTTGGCGGCCCGGGCCACCAGTGGGTTCGGATGCGTCGCGGTTTTTTTAAAGAAACGTTCGGACGTTTCCTTGAAGTACCGACTGAGGGTCGGTAATTCGAGATCGGCGTGAAGAAGAACGAAATGCAAGATTGCCGCAGCTATACGAACGACAGTCAAGCGCCGAGCGCTCGCAGCGACTTGAAGGAAATAGAGCTAGGAATTCGCGAACGCGTGCACAGACTCTTAACACTGAACGCTCGCAGCTTCTGACACAGGGGGATAGACAACGGTCGTTAACAGCTAGGACGCGCAATACTTTTTTTTTCTAATTTAGTGATTCATGGTCGTTTTAATGCGAACCTGCGAAGCCGGGACAGGCCGCTAGTCATTTATAAACTACCAGCTGTGTCAGCGACTTCGCCCGCGAGAATCGTTATTTTGGGCATCCAATTTTTTGCAAACCCCTTTATAAAAAGGTGTTACCCACTACGTCGGTCGCGTCCCTCCCTGTCATTCTTGCAAGATAATATTAAAAGATAGACATATAGCGTCGAGGACTTTTTTTAGATAATTTAAAGAGAAATCATTCTTTATACATATTTTTTGGGTATTTTGAACCGTTTTTGCAGCGTTTCTAAGGCGTAGAAATCCTGATGAATAATTTTCCCAATTTTGTTCACATTTCTCGTTGTTTCTCTATTAGTAGTCACAAGACCTTCCGCGTGGTGCCGGATTAAGAATAGCACCCCCCATATCCTCCGTGGGTGTCGTAAAAGGCGACTAAGGGATAAAAAACCGATGAACGGGCAGCAGCGTTCATTTGCGGTTCAACCATCTAACTGCGCTCGCCTACGTGTCTGCCAAGCGTGGCGAGTATTGGCATATACCCCCCCCCCCCAAAAGTGGAAAGCACGACCAGCACCAGGCCCCCAGTCCCCGGCAGCCCTTTTAGTCCTGGCTACGGTAGCGGCCATGGTAACTGCGGGGCAGGGGGTGCCAAGAATCTCCAGCAGAGATCCGGCTACCATTTTCAACGGCCTTTAGCCATGGACCACATACACCCCCTGCGGCATGTGATACAGAAAACCAAAGAGTATAACCTGCCACTATGCTTAGCGTTTGTGGACTATGAGAAGACCTTTGATTCCACCGAGACCTGGGACGTGTTTAAATCTCTCCAGAGGTGTCGCATCGACTATCGATACGTCGAGGTGTTGAGGTGCTTGTATAAGAACGCCAAAATGTCAGTCCGAGTACAAGATCAGTGTACGAAGGCCATCCTGGTGCAGCGCGGTGTTCGGCAAGGTGATGTTGTCTAACCAAAACTTTTTACCGCTGCTCTGGAAGACGCTTTCAAGCTCCTAGAATGGAAGGGACTGGGCATCAACATCTACGGCGAGTACCTCACCCATCTACGTTTTGCCGACGATATTGTGATCATGGCACAGTCTTTGGAGGATCTAATCACAATGCTCGAAGACCTCAAGAGTGTTTCCAAGCAGGTAAGCCTGAGTATGAACATGGACAAGACAAAAACAATTTTGAATGCCCATGTAGTGCCTACCTCTGTATCTATTGGAAGCATGTCATTTTATACACTTGGGTCACGTTATACAATTAGGTAGGATCCAACGTTGAGAAAGAGGTTAATCGTCAAATCCGACTCGGCTGGACAGCGTTCGGGAAACTAGACAAAGTCTTTTAATCCCGTATACCTCAGTGCCTTAAAACTAAAGTGTTCCAGCAGTGTCTCTTACCAGAGATGACGTACGGTACCGAAACATGGTCTCCTACTGCGAGCATAGTGACTACGCGTCGCTCAGCGTGCGATGAAAAGGGCTATGCTCGGAGCTACCCTGCTAAGAACTAAAGTCACTGACATAGGCCGTCGAATTTGCAAGCTGAAGTGGCAGTGGGCTGGGCACATCGCTCGTAGAACTGACGGAACTGGGGCAAAAAGGTTCTGGAGTGGAGACCAAGTACCAGACGTCAATCACCTGGATGACCTCCCACCAGGTGGACCGACGATCTGGTCAAGGTAGCAGGGGAACGCTGGATTCAACTAGCGAACGACCGGTCGTACTGGAAGTCTATGGGGGAGGCCTATGTCCAGCTGTGGACACCGAACGGCTGAATCGAGTCACAAGACGATCTTTTACAGCCTAAAGTCTTCCTCGATAAATGATCTAACCAACACAAAATTTGTCAATTTCAATTCAAACTCATAGTTCCTGAGATTAGCGCGTTTAAACAAACAAACTCTTCAGCTTTATATTATATTAGTATAGATTAAATACTTTACATAAATGTGCCAGTTAGAACTAAAACCCGCGAAGCTAATTGTGTCTCGTTCGATCATTTTTACATATTCATTCACGTTAAGTTAAAATTAAATCAAAGGGATGAAATAAATTCACGTTTCATTGAAGGCAAGCAAGAATAAAAAGAATCCTTTCGGCGAAAAGAGTTTAATCACCCGCGGGCTGCAGGTTCGCACATTTGAACAGCATAATCAGTCGAAACGCAACTGCATCGCCCTGAACCGCGACTCTCGAGGCTCAATTAAAAGTAATGCACCATAAACAAAGGATGAAAAAAACACTCCACTATTTACGGAATACAATTCGACGGCTCTCGAAAGCGAGTTTCATGTTTCACTTTGCATTTCGTTTCTGCACTCGCATTTCCATACCGGGAACCTCACAATACTCTAACGTTTTTTCACCCTTCAATTGCGATGTTTTATTCACTTTATTTTTACTCAAATACGACTACGTAGCGCTGCGAAGCACCGCGGAATATACGCGTCATATACCAGAATACGGAATCGGCATCGGCAAAGCTAGTTGCCTACATCACCTACTTGACTGACCTTAAAAGGGCAGTGTTTCACCTTTCAAGGCAAATTGCAACAATTCTCCATCAATTTTTAGAATTATCTGACGCGAAGAGCTCGTTTACGCTCGAGGGCTGAAGTAAATCAAGTCGATAGGATTACGGATCCAAACATCGTCTACGCAGCGGAGTGCACGAATTCTAAGAAGGTTCAAGCTATCGGGATCTTCCGGATTTACTCTCAATTCCTCGGATTAACCGGGGAAAGCTTTGAATCAATCATCATTTGACGGGCGGCTCTCGGTTTGTTTCGAGTTTTTTGCCAGCGCAACATTTTTATAATCAAAGTAGCAAACAAAGCAAACTAAATGGCTCGCGTCGCTTTAAGCCAAACACGGTGCATTCAATTTGCGACACGGTAAACTTTGCTTCGTTCCCGGTATAGTTTCCTCCGCGATGCTTTTTGCGCGAAATCAGCCCCGGAATTCATATTACGTACGGCGTAATGAAATAGTCGCTCGAACTGCAGATCGAGATTGCTCAAACTTTCTAAAAGCGTTCGGTGAATTAATTCCCACGAAGTGATGACCTACGGTGGCTATTATGGGTTTTTATAGAAATGATTCTGGCGTCCACGATTAGCAAGTTTGTTCCCACGCTTCAGAAAGTATGACTACTGGTAGGACTCGTTGAACCTATTCCCGAACGAATAAAAGTGTATTTTATCTTTTATCGAAATACTTCAGTCCGCTGGGATGTTTTTCGTGAAACGGTAAAATAAACTTTTGCTGCGTTTCCCGCTAAAAATCGGGCCGAGCCGTATGTAAAAGTTGTACAAACTGAACGCGAATGCACGGCCGCATTGTACGGGATGAAATACGCCCTCATTAACGGACTAGATTTTATTCCTGTTCTACACCGAATTTGTTCAACCCCTTCGCGCATCTCTTTTTTGCGACACGACTCGTGTGCGCTTTTGACGGAGGTTTGTTTCGAAATTATTTTTGTTCATAGAGGTTTATTTCATACGTTATTCATTTGTTATCGTTGAAAAGTTACGAAATGTATGTTGATAAATTAGATTTTCGCTATCGTGTTTCGCTACAGTTTTTACTCAAAAGCGTGGCTATATTTGTTTATTGGAATTTATGTATACATCTATGTATACATTGAAAATAGCAATAACCGACTTCAAATTTAATTTTTGTTCACAAAGAACTCCTTTATTACAATTTGATTTAGAGTTTTGTCGTGAAACTTAAGTCTTACTCCGTATTAACAATCGCTAAGAAGCGCTTTGATGTCGAACGAATCCCTCATACCTTTACTTTGATAAATAAAATTATTCGCTAAGAGCTTACTTAGCTGGCCCGTCTGAAGTGAACTCTATTTTTATAAAAACAGTATAGCTTCACTCGAAAAAAAATTGCAAGAAAGCAAAGGGAAATGGCACGATATTTTCCTTTTTCTCTAATTACAATGTTTTAAATACGAGATCCCGTCGGAACATCAAGACGGAACTTCGCTTTCGATCTTGTTGGCGTCCTTACTCGGAACTTCTTTTGTGCCCCGCGATTTCTCATCGTAGGGACAATTTTTAGTTAATTTTAAATACGAGTTTTGATTCTATGAGATAAATTATTTTTAAACAAATAAGGATAAAGTTTGAAAATATTAATATTTTTCACATGTTATTGCACATGAAGGCTCTATATAATTTAAAAATCGAAAATAAATAAAAAAAAATTTTCGGTACCTCAATTGGTAGAGCAACAAACAGCACGGAAAGCTGACGATGACGGTTCAAGTCCTGCCCGAGTCGAAAATATTTTCAATTTGATTTTAAAAAAATAAGGATAAAGTTATACGGACGCAATAATTGATTTGTCCTTTGCCCTACACAGGAGATAAGGTACTTCATATAATGCTGGCCGTTTGCAACATAAAAATTAATGTCATACTCAGCGTGACGTTGTCAATCTTAAAGTGCCTTGAGTCCTCCCTCCTCCAGGCTACATTTGGAGAGGGAGTGCCAGATGCGACGCACCTCAGGGCTGCGTTCTGTCCCTCCTTGATTATGATGTCTCTGCTGCTCGCTTCGTCATCTATGTCTGGTGGCACTGAACAAAGAAATTACAACCAATGTTGTCATTTTATATTTTCATCTTTGAAACTAGATTAAACCATTAAACTTTATATTACTTTCGACTCCCAGTATAAACTACTCGCAGCTTACATATATGTATTATAAAGATCAAATTATTGTTGCTAGTAGCGAATAGGCCAAAAATATGTACACTGCTTTGTCGGGGTCAACATTTCTCGGGATTCAAGAGGCGATTGACAGAGTTATTGTGGATATCAATGAAAAAGTTCTCCTTCTCTTATATGTGATCCAATAAAAGGGCATTTGTTCCAGTTCAATTGTTCTATCCCATAAAGTGTGCGTTCGCATACTAGATTCGGGATCCCAAAAACGTCACCGAGAACCGCTGCACATTAGCATAATCCAAGTTTGCTACCCTTTCGGCGAACGGCTATCCAAACTAACGAGTTCTACTTGAAATTTGAGTAGAAAAGAAAATCTCAAAGAGGTCGAGCTGAAGTTGAGTCAACTCAAGTTTCCATTCGAGAAAGTTGCGTTTCAGAATGTTTGATTTGCCATTCCTATTTGCAATGCATTTTATAGCTTTGTTTGAATAAGAACCGTATCGCGTTGTAAAACGAAAAAGTTGAGCTAGACTTAGTAAAAACTAGTAGAACAGCTTAAGTCGCATTCGTCAGCATGCCGTTTCACTGTTGCTACTCATGGTATATTGGTTGGGAGATAACGCTAGTCGTAATACTTACCGACCACCTGCAGAATATGCGTCTGGCTCATCATGGGTTCCGTATTAATCTGGCACATGTATCGCCCTCCGTCGCCCGGAGACACCTCCCTCAGGAGAAGACTCCACGTTCCGTCACCGTGGTTGACGCTGACCCTGTGGTTCTTGGTGATAACGTGTCCGGCGATGGTTAGGATCGTTTGCGTGTCCACACGGAGCCATGCCACCTACGAACAGACACGCAACATTTAGACGTATGACGGCAGTGAATTAGCTGAGGTTCCTCCGCTGTTTTATGGCAAATTTCGTTTCTTAACGAAACCCTAAATAGAACATAACAATGTAAGTGTTTGTTTAATACGTAAAGATAGACGTGAAAGGTGCATATTTAATAAGATAAGTGGCAATCGGTTTGCGGTTGAGGGATCGAGCCCGTCTCACGTCGTACGTAATACGAGCATCTTTCAAAGGTACTTATTATTTAAATATGCAATAGTGTGACAAAGAGTGGGATAATATTAAGTTTAGTAAACATAAGAGAGCATAAACGAATCGCCAAAGAGGGCTTACACAAACAGCCTCTAACCGATATTTGCCGGGCGACGGTCGATTCCCGCAATAAATTAAGGTCCCCGACTGTTTTGCCTGCGTATGATTAATGGGCCCGTTTTTTGTCCTTTTGCCATTTTCCACTGATCATGTTTTATTCAGTCACTTCATTGCTGATAAATGCTTTGTCCCCCACTCCGATGATGAGTTTATGTTTCCTTTGACAACGCTTAGAGCGTCGGTATTGTTCTTTTTTCTCAAAATGGCATTTAATTCTATTTAATCTCGCTCATCTTTGAACAGAGAAATATTAATAGAAGTAACGAAATAAAAATCAATAAACTATAGGTGGCAACTTATCGAGTGTTGACCCACATCATAAAAATATAATACGTTGTGTTCGTGCAAGAAGAGTTTTTAGAAGTTTACCTTAAAGGACTGTAAATTGTCAACCTTGCAAGTGAGGGTCGCTTCTCGCCCCAAGGCCACAGTGACATTCGAACCAGGGCCCACGAATCGCGGCAGATCTGCAATAGAATAATATGTTTCCTTTATTACATTTCGACGTTAAACATTTTATAACTTTCCTGTAAATAATTAATTTGTTCTGTTTTCTTTATACGTAGTAGCTCTATAAGTAGTTTTTTGCTATATTATTGTTAATACCGTTTCAAAATGTCAACCGAAGTACGGCGACGCACGTATTAAGAATTGTCAAATGAAATTAATTTCAGCATTAAAAAAAATACGAACGTTTCGACGCTCAAATCTTAGTTGAACTATAAATAAAAGTTGATTTTCCGCAGGTTTTAGCTTGATAGTTGAAATAATGCATTGAATGTATTTACGTCCCGCCGTCAGAGCGACGAATAGCGGGCGCAGAGGATTTATGTCCCCGTTCGTGTTCCAGTGTTCCTCGTTCAGTGAATTAGAGACTCGCGACTGATTTCATTAATTGCACCCGACCAGTTCTGCTAAATTCTACGCATTTCTAACGTTTGAAGGTGTGGCAGTGCTTTTTATTCCCTGTGCGCTCACTGTAAACACGTGTGAATCATTCGTAATGGATCGTATGCTTATGAAATATATTGTCTCTCGTTCGCGTTCTCATCTCATATCTTGAGATCTTATTTATCATATTGTAACCTAGTAGATTTCTTATAAGGACAAATATTTCTTTATAGCAAGGTGGCATATCTAATAACTAGCTGTGTCGGCGACTTTGTCCGCGAGAATCGTTATTTTGGGCATCCAAATTCGTTTTTGCAAACCACTTAAGCTGTTACCCACGACGTCGGTCGCGTCCCTTACCGTTTTCTTGCAAGTTAATCTTTAAAGATAGACATATAGTGTCGCGGACTTTTTTTAGATCATTTAAAGAGGAATCATTCTTGGGTAACTTGAACATCTTTTGCAGAATACGCCTCGGAAACCCATTATAATTAATAATTTTCACATTTTTTATTCACATTTCTCGCTGTATCTTCGCTTGTATTATATGTCATAGGGCGATGTTTTATAGCCTATAGCGTATATATATATAACAAACAAACAAACCCTCCAGCTTTATGTATTAGTATAGAGGAGAGAATAAGTTAACCTTGTATACAATTAATGGAGTAAATTGTTATTTCCAAATAAATCTTGTAAAAACGTCGTAATTACATTGGAGCGGAACTTTAGAAAGACAGAAATATTTAAAGGTCAGATTTTCCAAATTTTGCCAAATTAAGGTCTTAAAAGTAATTTATTTATGTTATTAAGTACATTAAACAAACATAAAATTAAAGTATTTTGTAATGCATTATGAGTATAGTATGAGTGAATATTTGCATGTTAGGTTATGTTTTGAAAAGAGTTGAATCTTTGATATATATGTAACAGGGCATAGAGTTAAATTGTTATTTTAATAATCTATTTACTGAATATACATATTGCAATAGAATTTCTACTAATTACGTCGTAATAACATTATTCATCTATAAAAATTAAGCCTCTTTTGTAACGTGAATCCAGCCTTGACAGTGTGTTTTTAATGATTTGGTTATTTTATATCTCAATAGATTCACAAACAAACTATGCTTTTTCTAATCTGTGTAGTTTAATATAGTAGTAAATATAGTATTTCTTTTCCTGTTGTGAAAATTAGTGAAAGTGGAATCCAGATACTATATATATGCTATGCTGTAGATAATCGATACTCTTATTTCCTTTCTACCAGGCGAAATGTATTGCTTTGAGAATAACGCCTTAAGCCACAATTCATAAAAAGTATCAACAATACTGTTGTAATAGATCGTAATGTGTATTTTTGAAAGTCGTCGGTCATGAATTGTGTGTCGTGTGAACAACAGATGTCAATAGTTTAGAGTAATGTTAGTGTGAGTCTCGAAGGAGTTATTCGTTCTTTTCCAAACATTTGTTGTAAAGTCGATCTCGGGAGGGTTTTTATCGCTCACTGACTTTAGCACCGTGTCTTAAGTGCAATCGAGTGCTCGAAGCTACAGCATAAATCTCACATTTATGGAAGTACATAGTTCATTTCGAAGTTCACGTAGAGCCTCAGAATGAGCTAAATGGCTCGCGATAAGGTACTTATAGTGTGCATAATGTTATTACTGAAGTTTCGTCATTAAAAGCAGGACGCGAACTTCAAATTAAACATTTACATAACGCACACAAGTTGGCTTCGGAACCAATTAGCTTTCCGAAAGCAAAATAATACATTCATAGCACTTATTAATGTAGTCTAAACGTTTAATAGTTATTTTACTACGAGGTTTTATAGTAGTCTGTGTCTTCATGTGAATATTTCAGGCGACTTGGGTTTACATTACCAAAACCAATACAACTCAATAATAAGGATATAGATATATTCAGGAGCAAGCAAAGACATTCAAAAACAACTTTTTACTAAGTTGTGTCACAGTAATTAACATTAGGGGTTTACATAATTATTTAAGTTTCTTTTTTTTTTTACCATGCCATTTTTTACTCTTTTAGATATTTTTGTTTTTCTCTTTTTAATTATTATAAATATTTCTTTAAATTAATTATCACTTATTCATAGATAGGAAGATTCATAGTTGTATAATATATATTTGTACTGTCATAGTTACTTAAGTCTGAAATAGTTAATTACGCATAATTTTTAGTTATATATGAACTTAATGTAATTTGTACGAATTTAAAAATAAATAAATAACTTACCAATGAATTGTAAACTTTAATATCTTAGGCAGTAGTAATTTGATAGTAGACTTATTTTCAATCGAAGATATGGTTAAATCCGTTATTGGGTCGCGTAATATCCACTCTCCTCCGAAATATACGGAGCCGTGAGACTCTATATTTTATGCAATACACTGAGCTACAAGTTATTATTCAATTTAAGTTCAAGACGTTGACTCAATATCGCTAACTCTTTGAGGTAATTTTGTATTTCTCGTTTCTCTATTCGAGAAATACGTTCTTCGCATTATTCAAGCCAAATTCTCTGTGGCTTTTTCAATTTCACAAAACTTAATGTAGGATGGTCTCTAAAAATTTCTCAAAGACAAAGTAATTCAAATATGTAATAAAAACTAAATGGTGTCCATTAAACATCCGATGAACAAAAATTAAGCAAATACTTAAGAAACCGTTAACAACTTAACTCGCAGAGTTCGCGCAGATAAGCTCGAGGCTTTCGGGTTATCGTGGAGGTAGTTAGTGAAGTCGCTAAGCCTATAACGACTATTTGGACTTAAATCCTCTTTACAACTTGTACGAGCACTTAACACTTCTCATATTGTACGCGCTTGAGTTTCGACTCTACCAATTTAGTCACCCATTGTGAGTCTAAGCGGAGCTGTAGGTTTTCGAGTCGGTCAGAGACCTTGACTTTATGAATTAAGTTAAAATTATTTCCTTAAAGAAATAACAGGATTAAATTAAGTTTTATTCGACAGCATTCTCCTCTTATGCTAGTCGCTTCATTATAAAATTAATTAAACTTGAAAACTTGCTTTTGAAAATACAAAGGATATAAAATATACAAGTAATTTTATCTTAGTCTCAGCGCAACGCGAGAAATGTTTATTTACCTGCACCAAGAATACGTCTATAAATATCAAAGCGAGAGGACTAAGTACGGCGCTCGCCGGAGAGTGATGAATCTCGTTTTAATAGTGAACTAAAATAAACGTTTGTCCGCACTGGGACGGCATTGATTAACGACCACTTTTCGAAAATAAATACTGGCGTTAAATTGGCATTTCCACCTTTTAAATTTGGCAATAACACGACCACACAGATTACATGCGTAATATTATGTCATATAAGTAGTAAGTTAGTGTTTCTTTTATTGGAATTAAGTGTTTAATGTTGAAGTCTAATTCGATAACTTCTCAATCTAAAATACTTCAAGTGGAAATAGCTGTAGCCGTTTCGTAATGAGATGCGAATACAGTCGAATGCGAGGCGGCTCCACTTAGCCGACACTCGATTAGTCGACGATAGCGCCCCTCCCGGGAGTAGAACGGCGGCTCGCAAATGCACACGCCACTTAGTATGCATGCTCCGAGACCGACGGTATTTTACACTGGGAAATCACATTAAGACCGTCCGGTTTCAGACGGTGGCGTGCATAAACGGAGCGAACTTAAGAGCCAATTGTGGGGTAGTTACGTGATGAGAACCAATATAAGACGAGATGATTTACATTTTTATAATTCAAACCAAATCATTCGAATGAGAAACTCACCATCCTATGTATGCCATTAACCACAAATACGAAATACGTACAATACTTAAATTAAGGATATAACTTGTTTACTCAAACATTCGTTGCTGTTAGGAAACATTAAATGTTTATAATGTTCGCTGTCACGAAGAATAATGTTTTGTCCAAATTCATGACTTTATTTCCAATTCAGTTTCATTTTTGTATGTTTATCGATTTTTATATCTATCGAAAATGGTATTTCAGCAATCGTTAGTCAACTAGTAAGTGTAAATGAATAATAAAAAGCAGTTTAAGCACACTTTCATATCTCGCTCAACCTTAAATACGTGTTTACATATTCAGCACCTGAACCCGAACACATCGAAGAGTTAAACACAAAAGCGGCGAACGAGAGCATAAGCAGTCCATTGAACAAAGCTCAAACTCAATTAAAACATAATCCCGAGATAACAAATAGGCGCCGTTTCGCCAAACACACCGTACATAATTACGAGCATCCGTCCCAAAAACGAGACGATAGATCACGTCCCACCGACGTCCCGAGTATTCATAACGCTGTCTAGAGTTTTACACGATTTATGGTGATCGTATTTCACCTGTTCTCCACATAATTGCCGGCTTATAATTGTGGGGATTCGACGGAATAAAAACTGTTCAATAAACACGACCGCCGCAAAATGTGGTAGTGCGTGAATTTGTTTCTGGCGACAGTTGCGGTCTCCTCTCGCGAAGTGACCGCAACCAGGACACCGTTTACTAAACCTTTACAATTTCAATGTAAGTCGACCTTTGATCGAGAAGCGCTCGGATATTGCGCGCTCAGGAATTTTTTCGGATCGGATGTTTTCTTTAATGAAAACCTTGACTCCGAACGAAACTTAGATATTTAGGGAATTTTTATTGAAGGAACACAATTGCGTCTGTAACAGACCGAATTCTGCCGCTTTCGGTTCGAATTGAATCATTTCAATTGAAATTTCAATAATGTTTCCGTATCGACGTATTGGCACCTGAGTAAGTATGAGTTATGCCAGCCCCACTACAAAGATGGCTCTGCGTAAATTAAGCCAATTTGACACGGAACCTTCTCGCACTATTCAGCTGGAGCCTTGAATGTGGGTCGCCAGGGAAAGGATAATGTCGCAATTAATATGAAATTCTGTCCTTTTTGCGTCACACGTAAACGTTTAATTCAATTAATCGGGTAACGAGAAGTATTCGTGCAATATTTTACAGCGAGAGTTGAAATAATTTCTGTCTTCTATAACACCCACGTGGGCGAATGTTTGACATTTTATTACAAAGATGTGTTTCGATTTTCAAGTAATATTTCTTTGTATACTCGTAGATCTGTACTGATAGATTTATTTGAATGTATTAAATCCTACATTGTGCTATATAATGAAAAAGTTCGTAAGGATATTGTGTTATTGTTCGAGGACTAGTACGTCTAAATGTCTATACGTAAAAATCAGTCGGGCCGTAATCGATTCGATCGGAAGCGACGAATGAGGCGTAAAAAAGCTTTCAAATTGGCGGGCGATTTGCGTCCAAATTAAAACGGAACGAGTATTATTGAATGCGGTCGGTCGTCCGGAATGTGTTTGGACCGATGCACGGCTCCATTAAACGGGTGCCGGCCAATTTTGGTGGAAAACGTCCGCCCGCATTCCTAAGCTACACTCGGGCAGGTGGAAATAAACAAGAATGCCGTTCAGTTTTTACAGTTTCCTTTCGACGACTCCGACACTATTCCGGGTGAAAAGCCAAGAGTTAAAACACGTACTTAACTCTCGACGGTCCGGTGCAGTTTCCAGCGCTCAAAAAGAAACAATCCAAAGTTTTAATACCGTTTACTCCGCATTCACGAGCCGCGAATAGAAACAAGTTCCATTAAAGGGAATTAACTGTAATTAGTGTTTTGATAAGTGGATTAAAGGGAAGTGTTTATTATATTACTGCGTTCAAGTATATAACTTACGTAACATGTTTTCTTTACAACTGCAATCTTTTCACAAATGAATACTTAGAAAACTTTAATAATATCTTTATATTATTTATTATACAGGCATTTTTCAAAGCTTTTCAATATTTTTTGAACAAAATTTAATGTAGATATTAATTATAAAAGAAAACCTAACCCGTTTATTAAATGCGCCTAAGCGTGTCGTAATTTGTGCTAAAGCTTAATGCCGTCGAAGCTTTCCGAAATATGAACACGTTCGCCGGGAAATGTGTTCGGAGAATGACAAAACATCGCATCTCCCCACAATCTCATTCTTCCGGATCATTTCCCTTCAGGAAGATTAGAGGAAGCATTCTGCGGCATAACTCGCCTTCACTCTATCAAACACCACTCTCAGTTTGGCCATTTTATGTTCCGTAGCTACGAACAGGTGTAGTGAAAAGCGGCAGCGTTTTATTATTACAAGCTTTAAAATAATATGCCTTAAATCCTGCAACAATTTATGTGGCACAATATTGTTCTTTGACAGAAATCGATCCCGTTGTCATTGACAGAATAATGCCCTATGTCAGCTATTCCAAATGTCGTTAAGGATTTACTTATTGTATTATTCCATAAGCCACTTAACATTATAGATTTCAATTATTACAAAATTTATAAGCATCAATACATCGACTACACAATGTCTTTCGGCTGTTTTATACGGTGGAACTATTATTATCCAATAATGTGAACGATCAGAGAGTTGTATAATTGTAGCTAGGTGGCATTTCTGTCCAGCTCACTCGATTAATAGCTGTAATTAGTAATAGATAATGTATGACACTGATTAATTGATGTTTG